AGCGTCTAGGCACAGCACTTCTGCACACGGTTCTGAAGGACATCTCCTCCCGTCAACGCAGATGCCGGCCACTACGCACCTACCCTCGCAGCATCTCTTCCCCGACTCACCGTGGGACACTGCGAACGCATCTCTCCGACTCACTGGAAGTTTCACCCTGCACCGCTCACCCGACTCACTGGGCACTCAGCGGCACGGTTCCGACCCACTGGAACTAGGGACGTTCTACACTGGCTCTGGCGCCACTCATCTCAAGCATCGACAGCCGTCTCAGCGGGATCGACCTCCGGTCTTGGGAGGGAGTGATGTGGCGACGCGTGCCACATGTCAACGGATGACGTCACAAGAATCCTACATCGCACATGCAAAGTTTACAAGCGAATAAACACGGATAGAAAATCCCAACGAACAACTGTAGGGCAGAAAGCCCGCCAGGCACGATCACCTCGCCTGGTCGGAGGATCCTCCTTTTCCGATCTTAGGGAACTATACTCTCTGTTCCCTAAAGTGGTGACCCCGACGTGATTGGAAAACAACCTTCACTTCACGGAGCAGATTAGCACCGTCATCCGTATCGCCATCCCACTCATTCATCACTTCTCCGCTGAGCGGTAGTCAAGTCGCAGCCAACCAGCATCCTCGGCCTCATCAGGGACCACCATTACCTGCAACAAAGTTGTGCAGCCTGGTTCTTCCCTACGGCCTCGCCAGCGTCTAGGCACAGCACTTCTGCACACGGTTCTGAAGGACATCTCCTCCCGTCAACGCAGATGCCGGCCACTACGCACCTACCCTCGCAGCATCTCTTCCCCGACTCACCGTGGGACACTGCGAACGCATCTCTCCGACTCACTGGAAGTTTCACCCTGCACCGCTCACCCGACTCACTGGGCACTCAGCGGCACGGTTCCGACCCACTGGAACTAGGGACGTTCTACACTGGCTCTGGCGCCACTCATCTCAAGCATCGACAGCCGTCTCAGCGGGATCGACCTCCGGTCTTGGGAGGGAGTGATGTGGCGACGCGTGCCACATGTCAACGGATGACGTCACAAGAATCCTACATCGCACATGCAAAGTTTACAAGCGAATAAACACGGATAGAAAATCCCAACGAACAACTGTAGGGCAGAAAGCCCGCCAGGCACGATCACCTCGCCTGGTCGGAGGATCCTCCTTTTCCGATCTTAGGGAACTATACTCTCTGTTCCCTAAAGTTACACTACAACTCAACCTTGGCCTGCGACGTAATTACAAGTGGACATTCATTATGGCAGATGTCAAGATGTCAATCCTCGGAGCTGACTTTCTACGACACCATAGACTGCTGGTAGATCTTCATCGCAAGAAACTGGTTGACAGCTTAACCGAACTTTCAGTAAATACGACGGCGATACGCACAAATCAAGATACAACGCTTTACGTAGTTGAACCTACCCACCGTTATCATGCGCTATTGCAAGAATTTACCGACGTGTTGAAGCCTATGACATCTACAAAAGAAATTAAACATAATGTGAAGCACCACATTGAGACTACTGGACCCCCACTATTCGCTAGACCTCGCCCATTAGCACCAAACAAGTACAAAGCAGCTAAAACGGAATTTGAATCAATGATGTCAATGGGTATATGTCAACCATCAAAAAGTCCATGGGCCAGTCCGATGCATGTCGTGACGAAGAAAGATGGTAATCTACGCATATGTGGTGATTATCGACGCTTAAATGCAGTAACGCTCCCCGATAGGTACCCAATTCCGAGGGTACAAGATTTTACATATCACATGGAGGGTATGACGATATTTTCGAAGATAGATTTGAAAAAGGCATTTTTCTGGATACCAGTTGCTGAAAACGACATACAAAAAACAGCAGTCACAACACCATTCGGCCTATTCGAGTTTCGTCGCATGCCATTCGGATTACGTAACGCACCACAGACTTTTCAACGGTTCATGCACGAAGTCCTGAGAGGCCTAGACTACTGTTGTTACTGTTTCATCGACGATCTGCTTGTCTACTCAGGAAATCCAGAACATCATGAAGAACATCTACGAATTATCTTGAAACGATTGTCTGACTATGGCATTGGAATTAATATAGATAAATGCCAATTTGGACAGCAGAAGCTGAATTTCCTGGGATATGAAGTCACGCAAGAAGGTATTACACCGACCACAGAACGCGTCCAAGCTATTTTAAACTACCCGAAGCCAGTAACTGTCCAAGATTTGCGGCGTTTCCTGGGAATGGTTAACTTTTATCACGTCGGGGTCACCACTTTAGGGAACAGAGAGTATAGTTCCCTAAGATCGGAAAAGGAGGATCCTCCGACCAGGCGAGGTGATCGTGCCTGGCGGGCTTTCTGCACCAGTAATACTTTGCCCGACCCGGGAATCGAACCCAAAACCCCTTGCCCGGCAGTCGCACTTGCGACCACTCGGCCAACGAGGCAGTCAATAATAGTAACAAAGTTAACTATCAACGCAGTAGCATAGCTCATAGCTTATAGTGGAGTCCAAACTTGACACACAAAACTCAATTACACAAAGTACATTAGATTGTTTACAAAAATAATTTATTTTAACAATATTCTCGCTAGTTACATCCAAGAGTATTTGTAGTTAAATTAACGTTTCATTATTTGAACTGAGATAGCAAACAATCATACAATTAAATAAGTAATTAAATACTAGAGTAAATATCTTTGTTTTTGAGAAGAATGGAAGGTTCTATTCTGTAAATTGATAGTCGTTATTTTGATAGTGTATGTAAATTACACTATCAAAATAACGACTATCAATTTTTTCTAAAAAAAAAACTAAAAATAAAAGTGTGGGAAAGCCATGCTTCGGCACGAATGGGCCGGCTGGACCGAAATGATACCACGGCCTCACAGGAAACCGACGTGAAACAACGCTTGCGTTGTGTTTCGTCGTGTGAGTGAGGTTACCAGAGGCCCAATTACCCTCCCCTTCTCCAATCTCCCCAATTCCTGAATCCCCAACGATCCTCAAACTCCTAATCCCCAAAAGACCAGTAACGCACTGGTAACGCCTCTGGTGTTTCAGGTGTCAATGGGTGACGCCGATTGCTTACTATCAAGTGATCCGTCTGCTCGTTTACCGGCTTATGCCATAAAAAATATGTAAAAAACATTAAGATTTTTCAACGCCTTGCATCAGTTACATTGCATTCCTGCTCTATAAACGCACTCAAATCACATGTTACACACGCCAATGATTGTCACTAATACAATGTTGACAAGTGACAATCATTGGCGGCGGTACAACCAACAACGATACAACTTGTCAGCTTGTCATGCGTGAACTTAAGAGCACATAATTCTGACAACGTTATAACCAGTTGTGAGCAATCTATAACGACTGAGTTAAATAACTGTTAGTACGTTAACTGTGGATAAATGTTGTCGTTCAACTTAACGACACGTCGCGTGTGGCCAGTGATGTTAGAAAGATGGCGGGCGGTCTTTGTGGGCTTAGAAAAATATAGGTACCTACGTAACGTAGAAATTGATTTAATAATTACATCACAATTAAAAAGTTAGGAAGATGGTCCAGAAGTAAAAGAAGAATATATAATAGGTTTGAAACTAGAAGGGTTTTTCTCAGTATATTCACGTGAGTAACCCGCGATTTTTAGTTAATCAAAAGAAGAATATTTTTGTATTAAAGCAATCAAATTGCTAATAAAAAACTATTGAAGGCCAGTCCTCTGCTAACGTTGACCACCCGTGAACCCCATGGCGTTTAATGTGTCAAACTACATACCTATCGCAAAAAATGTTATGATATTGAAGTCTGTATCAAACCATAGCTCTAAATTGTTGTGTAATTTTATTGTTGGATTTGTAAATTGTTGTAGTTTTAGGAAATATCATCTTGAAGTAAAATTGTGCGTGTTTTTTTTTTCATTTGGTAACCAGATTTATAGATCGAATCATTCATATAATTTATTTGACTCGTCTATAAATTGTCGTATCAGTCGTCTGTTAAATATCAAACCGTCACCTTCATAGCTCCACATTCTCCATTTCAATTGATCGCCCGAACTGACCAACTTGCCCATTCCGGGAATCAATCATACTACAGTTTGCCCACAATCACCAAACGTTTGCTCTCAATGTGACTATTTGTTGCTTTTCGTCCCAAAACCGTCACTTCTGTGTAACTTTTCAAAACGTCATGTTGACGTTTCAATTGTTGAGGACGTTAAATTATGTAACAATGACTTGTTAGAATATGAAGTGTAGTAATGTGTGAGTTTTTCGATCATTCACAATTCTAAGAATGTTTGTCATGAGGTGTTTTTAAAGTCTCATGTGTGCGTCGTTACTTTTTGATGTCTATTTGTTAAAATTGAGAAAATTATAAAATATTTTATGTTTTATTGATAGCAGTAAAGAATGTTTAGTGGAAAACATTTTTATATATTTCATAGTCTCAAAAAAAACCGAACCATTCTTCTAGAAAGTTGTCAGTAGTCCAAAATAAATGAGTACGACGAACAATGTAAAAACTGTTTTTACTTATCTATCTACTATTTACAATAAACCGACCGACGGCATACCAAGCGTATCACATACAAACATACAATTAAAATTCATAAATCTCTTACAAAAATGTCGTTTTTACACTATTAAAGGAACACAGTCAATACCATAAGAATAAGGACATCGTATAGAAGCGTAACTGTTTTTAAGGTCTTTCATTCTTTTTATTCAAATTATCTATTAAAAATAAAGCACTATTTTAAAGTTTTTTTAATGTCAGTGAAAAGACTGTGTATACAACCAAGACAACGACCAAAACTAAAACGATTCACAAATAATTAAACAATTATTTCCTTTTAACACGAAGGTTACAAAAATCCAAAATAAATTCAGAGAGGAAATCGATAGTCGCTTCTATTTCAGTTTCTTTATTCTTATGTCAATACTTAGTTTAAAGTCTATATACAGAGGATGGGTAGACAAGTTTATATACAGCTCTCTTGCACACGATGCGAGGTCGTCACGACTTCAGGTCTAAGTCGGTGGGCTGTCAGTGATGACGTCACGCCTGTTGCAGAACTTGGGCTGCACGCATTCACGCCTTTGTTGACGCGGCCTAAACTATGATAAGACTGGAAGAGAATTTGTGTGTTAGTATGATGTATTTTGTAAAATCTAGTCAAAAGAAGAAAGATAATTCCTAGATTCCGCGAATGTCGAAACAACAAAAAGTAACGGATGCAAACTTAAGAACATATTCCGGATTAAAATGACAACAATTTTGCAAGGCATATTAATCTTACAAGACAAGATCTAGAAGTTTATTTTTACCGAAGAATTTGAAAATTAACACCAAAGTCGCATACTCACACTAGTTAAAGGTATTCTATAATCTTTTTTCCTATAATCTGTGTAGTAGGCTCCCCCGTCGGGCTCCGAGCGGACGTCCTCGCCGCTCAGCTTGGTGATCTTCCCTGAAGAGGGGGGGCGCTGGAGACTCATGTACCCGTTGGATACTGGCCTCCGCTCTGTGTAGAGAGAACCTTGATTTAGAACTGAAAGGTGATTTTGTTTTTCGAGCAAAACCAGTTATTTTGAAACCTGATGTAAAAAAGTTGTTGCCATAAAGTCATCGTTTAGTAGGTAATTTGCTACTCCATCAAAAAACCGTCTCCAGCTATTGTATAGGTACTACCTAAATTATTTTTTTCACAACTCACCATATAAACTGGGTATAATATCCGGGTCTGCATCATCAGCGTCTCTTGGATCAGCTGTATGGAGTAACGCTCCTCGTGCTGTGCGTTCCCTGTCTCCTCGGTCCCGTGGTTCAGTGCTGCTGGCGCGGGACTCCGCATCTTGCTTTACTGGAGTTGGGCAGTGAGGTGCTCGTTCCACATACATGGCTTCACTGTTGGGGACAAAAGAAACATTTTAATGAGAATTTTTATTACGTAAAGTATTCGATGGTTTGAGGGATACAAAATTGAACTTGCTTAGTTGAGTAAGTGTGGGGTATAGGGCCCCTGGTTTAGCTTTTGTGGGTTTTATTTTAGGGATTTCTAGTTCCAAAAAAATATTTGAGTAGCAGCATGGAGTTGGTTTGGTGTATAGGTAATAACAGACTGGCCAACTATACAATACGATGTATATCGGTCTCTGGTCCGGTATTGGTATTACATTGTTCTCACATTATTGAACTCAACGAAAGAATGTAACCAAAAATTGTATTGTGAACATGATTGAAAAAGTTTGGAGTTTCTTGCTCGTTCTTCTCCATAGGAATCTACACTTTGGAACGAGCAAATAGCTTCACTAGAGGACTGACCTATAGACTGACATTTTTTCTTATTATTTTAACGTTAAAAAGTGCCTTCCTGGTCTAATTGAAATAATTGATTTTGACTTTGACTTTGACTTCTGCCTATTCTTTCGACGAAAATGCAAACGCAATGTTTCATTAAATTAAACGTAAGTACAAAATACATTTTAGTTGCACACTCAAAGTATAGTTTTCTAACCTAACCAAAGTAAAGTGCCTAAGCCTTAAACCATAATTTCCATTCTACCAGGTAAACGCCAATTTTCGTTATTAAGTCTAGGAAAATTGATCGTAGCTGGGCTTTAGTCCATTGTTTGTTGGAAATTTACTTCACCATCAGTGACGTGAAGTACCTTAGTCTATAAAGCGCTGGGTGTAATGGAAATGAATAGCTTGATGAGTCACTATTGTCTTTTCTGAGGACATAATGGTATATTACAAGATAAACATATTACGAAGTATTTTGGCGTTGATAGTTGCACGTATGTACTTGATAAACTTTGTCAATGTATCAGCAGATCAAAAGCGTATTTAAGCATCTATGTTGTAAATTAAGAGTTATAAGAAAGTATCAATTAAATTCGGACATTTTAATCTACAATGCCTTGTTGTTTTGTTGTTGGTTTTTTTTTTTAATTCCTTAGTTACAGCAAAATGTTTGAAATGTATGAAAATCGACTGGACTTCTTTATCTATTCAGAAAAGTGATTATTACACTACACACTTAGAAAAAGGCTTTTAGTACATTGATCAACAGACTTCACAAAAGAGGGGGTTGAAGTGGGATTTCTTAAACGCAGTATATAAAAGATTTTTTTTATGATATGGACTCATAATAAATTGGTGATAAGGCTCAACTTCGCCTAATCTTGCTGCAATCAAGACATTATAAATTATGTCGTGTTAATTTGTATGTGTATTAATTGCAATCACGTGGTTCTGTGGTTCAATTACGTACGCTATTTAATTTATCAATTAAACGAGTGATTGGCCGGTTTCCCGGTTGGCTGGAACTCAAGGAGCTGACAAGGTGATTGCGGCAGGTATTTGTGGTCGATGATAATTATCTAGACAATGCCGTGGTTTGTAATCTGCTGGAGTTGTAAACACTACTATTTATTAAATAGGGTAGATGCCTATTTTTTATTTTAATATCCTTCTAGTAGAATATTTTAAACCATTAGACACGTATTTTTTATTTTCTTATAAAAATACTTAAATGTCGCGTTACGTCACTTCTATTGAAGACATTTCTACGGTAGAAATGACGTTTTAGCCCCCACTCCTAAACTTTGATTCGTTTTATCTAAATATTATTTTACTCTATGACAAAATAAAAAATACGTGTCCAACATTTACAGTGTAAAGTAATATATTCAAAATATAAAATTTCCAATAATATAAAAGTTATATAACTATCTCACATGCCAGTTGTGGTTGGACTCGTGGCTAATTTATTTTAGTTTTCGATTTAAACGCTTGAATGTCCGTATACAATAGAAAATACATTGTGTCTCGCGTGGATCCACGTTTAGACACACGACGGGTTAAAATTCATTTTAACATTCAGTTTCTTCAACCTTATGCCACCCACTTGTAGGCTGCTCATCAACGTTCCATAATCATTATCATTTTATTATTCATTTATTATATTTATAAACCCCCAAAAACTGTTCAAAGCCTTAAGTTTCTAGGCTACCACGTCGAACGACATCTTTTCGAACCTCCTGATTTTGATGATAATGTCAGTCCCCCTTATCCACCACAACCAAGACACTTCATTATAGGCAAAAAAATAGAAGTTATACATATTACTTTCTATCGCGATTAACTTCCAAACTACTACAATACAGATTTTAGTTATTCTGACATGGTTTTACACCAATTTTAACCATGAACTCGTATCAAGTGGCGTGTTGCGTGTTGTTGGTTCGAACTACATATTAAACTTAGAAAACTTCACAAGTAGCTATTAAGCTGAGGTTTTACGTCATATGCTTGGTTCTAGTGGACTTGGTTGGCCCTAATCTGTTAATATTGATTTGTGTGGTTTTTTATGGCATAAGCCTGTAAACGAGTAGACGGATCACCTGATGGTAAGCAATCGGCGTCGCCCATGGACACCAGAGGCGTTACAAGTGCGTACCTTTTGGGGAATTAGTAGTTTGAGGATCGTTGGGGATTCAGGAATTGGGGAGATTGGGGAAGGGGAGGGTAATTTAGCCTCCAGTAACCTCACTCACACAACGAAACGCAACGCAAGCGTTGCTTTACGTCGGTTTTCTGTAAGGCCGTGGTATCACTCCGGTCGAGCCGGCCCATTCGTGCCGAAGCATGGCTCTCCCACACTTAGTGTGTTAAAGAAAGATATGGAATTCTTGGCTATGTAGGTAAATCTTTACCCAGAAGACGAAGGGAATATAACTACTGTTGTTAAAGCTACATGAAAACGCCAGTGGTACTCGCTTTCACCAGTTATTTTTTAACGCACTATTTATATACACCAGTTTTACAATAAATTACCAAAAAGATTAGAGATTCCACATCAATTAACATATCATAACATCACGCCTTTTGTCCCCGAAGGTATAGGCAGAGGTGCACATTATGCCATTGTACAATGTAACACCCACTTTTCACTATTTATGTTATGAGTCCCATGTAATAGGGATGAGCCTATTGCCATATTGAGAATTTTTAGGAAAATCCAGTAATACTTTGCCCGACCCGGGAATCAAACCTCCCTACCCGCCAGTCAGACTTGTGACCACTCGCCCAACGAGGCAGACGTTTAACAATCATTTAAGATGTATGTAAATTGAAGTTGTATCTGACTAAACAACGATAATGATAGTATCAATATTGTACTCGACAGATCCAACGACATAATGATATTATGTATTTTTGTAAAATGTAATTTTAAGTTTGAAAAGAAAGAAAGAAAGAAAGAAAAATAAATTTATTCGTCGTCAGACATGGACCACCGAAAATAAAACAATATAAAAAACATAAAATAACAAAAAAAAAAAAAAAAAACAACAATAAAACAAAAAAAACATTATATAAAAAAAAGCAAAATAAAAAGAGACCGGGTGGCAGCATGTCCACGACGAAAGGGCCCGCCAACTCAGCATAAGCTGGGCACAGTAAGTACCCAACACTGGTTTTCAGTTGGCACCCCTGCAGTGACGCACGGACGGAGGCAACGAAAAATTATTTAAAGGAAAATAATGGAATATATAACTCATGTTAAAACAATAAAAGAAAAGGAAGATATTATTTAAACACAGACCTCTGTGTGTGCACATTGTGCGATAAATAAATAAATAAATAAAAAATAAGTATACATACATAAACTAGTGCTACGTGTACCGTCACCGAAGAGAAGAAAAATAAAAACATTATAAACCACATATATCACGACAATTAAAATAGTGTGGGTAGGTTGTGGTCGTGAAGCTATCGCGCAGCCCGACACTCATTGCGAGAGGTTACAGCGAGCAGGTCGACACTTCGCCAGCACTGACGCAACAACAAGGGGCTCGAGGGTGAGTATGTGAGATATCCCACGTTACATTAATAATGAAAGCAATAAATAATTATAATTATAAAAATAAATAAATATGAAAATGTGACTAACATAATTTGTGTACCCAATTATACGAATAAAATAAAAAGAAGGATAAATGTCAGATTAAATAAACGAAATGTCAATATTAATAGATTCACTCTCAATTTGAGAGTTAATAATAAACTCCTTGAGTTTTCTTTTAAAAGTGAAAGTGCTTTGCAGGTTCCTGATTGGCGGAGGTATGTTGTTCCAGCACTTAGAAGCTGCATATCGGAAACTACCCCGAAAAGCAGCCGATTTGTGTTGCGGTATAGCCAGCTGTTGTGCACACCGCCTACCCTCCCGCTGCCGATGAGCATTCACCCATGAGAGCTTCGAGTAGAGGTATGCTGGACACTTGTACTTAATCACACCAAAGAGGAGACATGCCAGGTGGAGCTTACGTCGGGACTTCATTTTTAGAAGATTGTACTTGTTTAAGTAAGGTGTTATGTGACTCCTAGGTGGAATTTTAAAACAAAAACGCGCGCAGGCGTTCTGAACCCTCTGTATCAATCGCTCAGTGCGTGAAAACAGTCTAGGTCCAATAACCGCGTCAGCGTAGTTTAGCTTGGATAAAACCAACGACTCAACCAGCCGCACACGCAACTCCTCGCTTAGATACGGGCGCATTCTGTAAAGTATCTTCAAGCGGTAAAAACAGTTTCTGACGCAGTTAGAGATGTGGGACTCAAACCTAAGACCTTGATCCATTATCAGACCCAAATTTCGCGCTTCATAGACACGCTCAATGATTTGACCCCTCAAGAGAACGTTAATATTACTAGGAGTCTTGTAAAGTTGCGTCTTTGTTCCGAAAAGCATAAATTTTGTTTTGGATGGATTTAAGATGAGGCAGTTACTGCTTGACCAGTTCACTATCCTGTCGAGGTCCTCATTAATTGAAGTTACAGCACTCGCGTATTCTTCCGGTCTAAAGGACAAGTAAATCTGTATATCGTCAGCGTAGATATGATATTTGCATGTTTTTATTATATTGATGATGTCAGCACAATATAATAGGAATAGGGTAGGCCCTAAAATGGATCCTTGGGGAACTCCCTTCGTCACAGGTTTCACCTCGGAAGCCAAGAAAGATCCATTAGCATCGCGAAATTCAACCTGCTGCGCACGGTTGCTGAGGTAACTATCGAACCATTTAATTGTTGGTATATCAAATCCGTAGTACGCCATTTTAGAGAGTAATAGAGATAAATTGATAGCATCAAATGCCCTCGAGAAATCCAGCAGGACCAATATAGTGCACAAACCCTCATCCTGCGCAGCCAGTATATTGTCAGTGACGTCCAACAAAGCCGTGGCCGTACTACGCCCCCTCCTAAAACCAGATTGCGCATCCGGCAGAACACTGCTGTCCTCTATAAATTTGGAGACCTGTTCGTTTACCACCCTTTCCAAGACCTTAGACATTAAGGGTAGAATGCTAATAGGCCTTAAATCTTTAAGATCGCCAGGATTGTTTACTTTGGGTAGAGGACGTACCTTAGCCAATTTCCAGGCGCCCGGAAAAGTTGCCGTTACTATGGAGGCATTTATAATACGCGTCAGGACATTCAAAGTTTGTGGTATTGTTAACAAAAACATATTCAGTGCTATCTGGTCACAACCTTCAGCATTTGATTTTATGCTGGTTATTATCCTTAGAATCTTCATGTCATCGGTTGTATTAAGGGAGAGGATGCAATCAGAGAACCTATGAAATTCATAGTAGGTGTAAGTCGACAGGGTAGTAATTGTATCGCCGGGAACATTCAAAAAATGATCATTTATTTTGTTTGGGTCATTGAAATGTGCGGGTAGTTCAATATCAGACTTTAGAGGTAGCAAGGTGGATTTTAAATTCTTCCAAAGCCTCTTCGGATGTTTGATGTTGTTATTAATATTTGATTTGAAGTAGGCTACTTTTTCAAGATAAATTGATTTAGTTACTAGACTCTTAAAATCCATGTAGTATTGTTTTTTGTGAGTTAATGTGTTATTAATTCGGAATTCCCTATAGGCTTTGTCTCGTAGTTTCATCATAAGTTTAATGTTTTCTGTAATCCACGGATAGGATCTATCCCTCATCTTAACACTCCTGCGAGGTGCAAATGTGTCAAACAGACACAGTAAATTGTTTGTTAGACAGTACACCATATAGTCCACGTCATGAGAAGAAATTACCCCACGCCAGTCGATCGCGTCCAGAGCCTCTTTGAAATTTTCTAAGTTAATGTTTTTGATATCCCTATAAGTTACAATTCGAGGCCGGATTTTTTCCCTTTTTATACGAAGAGTAGTTGTAATAAATGCATGAGCACCGAGAGCTTGTATTGGGTACACATTGACATCAGCAACTCTTGCGTCTGTACACACCAAATCTATAAGGCTCGAGTTGTTGGTTGTGAAGTGTGTAGGCGATGTTACTAACTGATTGAGGCTCAGGCAATTTAAAAAAATATGCAATTTGTTTAATTTACTGTCAGGTGGTGAGGTGTTCATAAAATTTATATTAAAATCGCCCAACAACACAGTGTAGTCGCAGAATGTTAACGAATTTACAGACATGGTCAGAGCGTCCAGAAACGTGTCCACATCCAACCACGGCGGCCGATAGGCGGTCCCTATGGCAAGCTTCATACCGTTTATGGTAAACACGAGCCACATCTGTTCGACCGACGTATGTGTAGGGTCAGTAGGGTGGGAATGCGCCCGTACGTTTATTCCGCATCTTATATAGAATCCGACACCACAGTTTCTTATATTTATGTAAACTAAGTATGTTCTTTGAAGTGAAAACCAGTGTTATTATTGTTTTTATAATAACTATATTTACTTAATTCAGTGTTACCATGCTAGTATTACTTTGGCCATCGGTCATAGAGAACGCGACGTGCGGGCCGGGGGGGGGGTACAAAACTCACGGTCGCGCGACCGCCGCGCTTCTTCTTCTACGCACTGGTTTCACCAATGCCATAACTTTCGGGCATTTTTTTGTGTCAGCATTATTAAAGCGCCACCGGTCTTGATTGTGATTTGTGGGATAAACTTACGTATTGTGCAATCTTCTGTTTTACTCAAAATAAACCGACATAGCTTCGACACCAGTGTTGGGTACTTACTGTGCCCAGCTCAAACTGAGTTGGCAGGACCTTTCGTCGTGGGCCATATTGCCACCTTGTTGATCTTTTATTTTTTTTTATATATTGGTTTTTGCTTTTCTTATTTTTTTACTGTTGGTTTTTCATGTTTTTTAATTTTATTTTTCATTGTTATTCAAAGTTTGTATATTTGGTGGGTCATTCTTAAGGACGAATTAATTATCTTTCTTTCTTTTTTCTTTAATCTGATATTATGAAGTCCGTCCGAATAAACTGCAATGTGTAAATTTATGTCATTGGATTTCCGTCTTTATTTCTAAACGATAGAGTTGAAGACCTAATAAAGAGCAGGTTGACCTACTGCCCACCACACTCATGTAAATTATACTGTGTATGATTTTGTTACTAGACTTTTAACCAACTTTAGAAACCAACATTTAATATAAGAATTTGATTGGCTAAAATAAAAAGTTACAAATATTATATTCTAGTGGACCATGTTCTATTTACTCGTATACCACTTCATATCACGCTCAGCAGTGCGGAATGACATCTATCAGCTATTTCTACGAATCAACTCGAGGATACTAACGGTACACGGGTCCGGGATCAGAACCCACTGTCAATAGCTCCTTTACAAGTTAATAATGAGCAGATCAGCATGATTTTCGTATGAAGACTGTACCGTATTTTGGCCATTTTTTAAATAATTAATGACGTGAACCTATTTTATTTAAATTGAAAAAAAAAAACACGTGACGTGTATGTGAACTTGTATGTTTGTTAACGCACCCACGACACAAGGGAAAATCCTAGTGTGGAACAACGTTTTATATAGAAAAAAGAAAAAAAAATATATCCCAATTACGTCACAGATTTTAAACTGTAATCCCTTTCAACAATATTTTAAAAATAAACTTTTATTTAAACGATAGGTCAGTAAAACTAATCAAATTGTATGAACTATCCACAAAACGATGATGTGGTGCATAGAAACCTTAATTTACAGGCTTCATCCCGTCTCTCGGGTGTAGTAAAGTTAAATCGATTTCAAGTTCTCGATTTTGAATCAGTCGAGTTGAGGCTTGTAATTTGACTTTTGAACTAGTTTCCAGTAATAGTTGCATTCGACATCGAAAGGCAAGCCTATATATTTCGACTACATGGATTTGTAGTGAAGTGTTGAATACCTGACTGAAAAAAATCTCAGTAGTAGCACGGAGTCTGGAGTTACATATGTCCAGTACATGGCAATAGGCTCACCCCCTATTACATGGGACTCAAAACGTAAATAGTGAAAAGTGGCTGTTACAATTTGTAAAGCCGGCATTGAGTGTCGTAATTTGTACTTCTGCCTACCAATTTGGAGATAAAAGGCGTGATGTTATATACGTTGTATACCTTTATTTGTATACATATTAGGAATAAGATCAACAACAACACGACATAAAAACATTGATCAACTGATATTATTTTCATCATTTTATTTTGTGCTTCTTCTTCTATATCATGAATACAAGAGGTTCCACTTCAACTTACCTCAAAGGTGCATGTTTGGCCGGTAGATGTCGATGTCTAGCAGCATGTCGTTTGTACAACACAGCCAGTACGCCACACACTGCAGTCGCCAGCAGAGCTGACATCGCTGCTATGGATGCTAGCACTGGTGACATTCCTAGCGCACTGCCTTCTCCTGGGGACAAAATGATATCATTAGATATATACAAGGGCAGTTGAAGTACCTCGTAATTAATGCTTTAACTCTTCTTCCTTCTTTCTTGTCCTAAATTACCTTGTGCTATGAGGTTTCATGATTTATTTGCCTTTTTTAGATGCCGTTCTGTCACAAATTGCTATTTATTTGGTATACCCATTCGACTGCCTCATTGGCCGAGTGGTCGCAAGTGCGACTGCCGGGCAAGGGGTCTTGGGTTCAGTTCCCAGGTCGTGAAAATTATTAGGTACTGTTTTTTTTAAATACTTGTAGTAACTTGGATTCCCTATTACATGGGATTTATAATTAAATAAAAGTGGGAGTTATATTGTACAGTCGTCCTAGGTAAGTGCCGCAGAGTGCACTTTCGGGGATAAAAGGCAGACAAATTCTGTAGCAATCATCACCTCTGTAAGTTGGAACATTTTCCCTAATATCGTTTAAGATTAACACTTTATTATTCACTAGCCACTACATGAACTCATAAGATTTAATTAATACTAAAACCAACCCAGAAAATAACAAAGAACTTGTAAAACCCTAAACTAATTAACACAATTCAAGCAAACATTCTTTATAATCATTTCAAAAGCAAGTGAAATGTGACAAATGTAGTAACAACTTAAAAAAAAACCTATAAAGCAAGCCATTTTTAAATAGAAACGTGAATGTAGCGACGCGATATGCTAATCCCTTGAGGGTAGGCGCTAAACTAACAATAAATTACAGCGAACAAATATTTGTGGAATTTTATTACAAGTTGCTTTAAAAAATGAAATATTTCATGTAGACTTTGTGTAGCTATTGTGATTTAATTACTGAGGGCTCATGTTTGTACTGTATATTTAAATTAAGGATAACTTTCGAATTTATAGCAATGTGATTTTTACCGATTTTTTTATGCTGAGCAAACAAGATTTTTCTGCGAGGGGACAATCATTGAATGACTTTTTCTACCTTGGATGAGGCGAAAGACTGTCAGACTCTTATTGACTGAAAATCACCCTGTTCCTACTACTGCTTTGAGACGGAGTCTCGCTAACCAGGTTTGAAGCCGAAGGAAGCCCAGGTAAAAATTGTCTGCAGCTCCGGGTTGAACTAACGAGGTAAAATTTCACCTAAAGTTAATCATGTTGTCAGCATTTTCAAAATATTGTTGGTTTATATTGGTCTTTGAGTAATTCCATCTTCCTAATATACCAGATTCATTTAAAAAAAAACAATATAAAAAGCCATCCCACAAAATGATCTTTAGAAGCATAACTTAACAAAAACCTTCTTGTTTCAAAATAAAAAGAGGAAATTAATTAAAACCTTACAGATTCTTCACAGAAGCAAAGACAAAATGCTAAGAAAATAGAATAAGTAAAGAAGAGCTAAGTATCTTATCACAACTAGCCAGAGTTGGCAAAGAAAAATAAACTTAATAACAACTATAAAAAAGGAAAGTTTCGTCTGCTGTTATTTCCAAGTTTGTACTGAGATTTAAAAAAGACAACTTGCGGCTTTTTCGTTATGTTTATTAAAATGTGGACTGTCAGCTTTGAATCTTAAAATGGTAGTTTTATTCATTACTGCTTCATCTTTTGTTTGCTGTATTACCATGGTACAATGAGTAGAATGCACATTTTGTAACCAGCCCATTTCCTCTCGTGGGTATCGAAGGAGCTACACGAGGGACTACGTATTTGAGAGAGATCGGGCAGCAGTGGTTTTAATAAGCCTGAACCTATTTAAACTGCTGTCTCCACCCCATCTGCCAATGCATTCATCATATCATGATGATGATAACTTGGAGCAAAAGACCACGAATTCTATTCTTAAGTTAAAAAATCTTTCTAAACTTGCAAAAATCGTAATCCAGTCATCTTGAACTTAAACAAAACATTTCCATATACAAATCAAAACTTCTATTTCCTTCACGATACCCTAATCTCGTAACAAAAGACTTGGAACTATAAACAGCCAACTACTGCAAATGAAACACGCTATAACGTTCACACACATTACTAAATAAAGGTAGTCGTAGTCACCAACAAACCAGGCTCCAAATTAGGCGTTTTATTGACCAGCAAAACACAACCTGTACTTATTAAAATTTGCGGTCATTTCCCTCTGTGTACGGCAAAATCAAAATGGTTATGAAACAGTGGTCAGTACATAAAATACTGCTGAAGCATAGTTACTAGATTTTATAAACTGGCTGTGCGGTTTATGCCAGAACTTTACCGTAAATATCTATTTTAATTGACCACGAACTCTCTAAACGTGGCTTTGTGAACTATCGTTTAAATTATATGCCATTTTCTATAACATATATTATAACATTCAATTAGTAAAATAGATAACCAATTTTGGTCCTTTTACGATCAAAGGACCAACTTCAATTTCATTCGAATTTTTTCAATTTTGACACATAAACTCATGTATAATCACTTCAAGAACTATTTCAGATAAATTACTTAACATCAAGTTATAACACTCAAAAACAGAGTTCATACGTATAATCAGAGGAAAGACCTAGTATGAAAAATCCTTTTAACTCCACCCTAACGACCTCCATATAGTTCGTCGAATAAACTACCAACCAAGCCTTTTATTAACTCATTTCGTAATCAAGCATTGTGAAATGAAACCAGTGCACGTTAGCGTGACCACGTTCTTAAGGTTCATTTTCCTGTGGCATTTTCTTTAGCGATATCTAGAAATTAAGCGTTAGATTGCTGGTAACAAAGATTTTATTATAGTCCTTACCAGTGAATTAGGTTTGCATTGGAGTTTTGATACTGTAGTTCTGATAATGTATGATTTGGGTAAATTGTACTTTGATTTCATCGTTTTGATTTGTACTTAGTTGGGTCTAGGGCTACTAAAGTTTTCTTTAAACTATGTTAATAATGTGATTTTGTTTGCTGTGTGGAGATTTAGCTTCAAGCCCAACCACAAAAACAATTACTAGCTAATAATACTAGCAATTAAAGTCTTATTGAGACTTTTACTAAGTTATCTAATAAAATAACTTAGTAAAAGTAGTCTCTACGAGACTAGCCATCTAAAATAACTTACTTTCTGTTATAAAAATAAGTATACCTGACGTTAGTTTTGAACGTAGGCGTAGTTAGTATAAATAACATAATCTATAAAATGATAATATTTAATTTACATAAACCTACAAACTGTACCCTGGAACACTTTCAAAATGTAACAATATAAGTTCAAATGGAACCTTTCCTATCTAAATTCAAAGTTTCTCAAACAGAATTTCTCAATAATGTTTGCAAGTAATAAAAACCTGAACTCAGCACAAAGCAATACTTTATAATGGTTTAAGAGTTCGAATTGGATCGCAAATAAGTAAACAATTTCAGACTTCTAACTGTTACACGTCTAACAGAGATATACACAGAAAATCCACGGTGTGAAATTTACACGCTGTATTTGTATAATTGTACTGGGCATGTGCTTTCGTCTTTCATATTATTATTATGTTTGTTAACTAAAAATTGCGGGTCACTCACGTGAATATACTGATAAAAGCTCTACTAGTTTCGAACCACAGGGGTTTGTTCCTCATGAGCAGCGTACCTAGTAATCTACATTAGGTAGGCTGGTTAGGTAGCCTACCTTAGTATGTCTCACGATAGTTAAAATATTATGTTTGTCTTTACCATTCACGGGACCACAAGATCCATTTGGGAGGCGTACGAAAGGCTGAGCCAACTGCGCAGACGCCCTTTAGACTCCTTTAGAACTTTAATCTACATAAAGGTAATGGACACACAAGCTGGCGACTATCCCTGTATTATTGTGTTTTATTATTATTTTAACTTTAATCATTTTATGTAATTATATTTTCCTTAATCATTTTCCTCAATCAATCAAAGAGTTGCTCTCAAATACAATTTAATATGACGATACAATTATATCGCCGAGTAAGTATCTACCAAAAGAAAATTGGTCCTTCGATACGGACCTTACTTTATTTCCTCTACTTGTAATATGAAATCGTAAGCATTACACTTTAATATCTTATTGTAAATTCAACAACATTTAGAAGTTAACCTTCTGAACTTCAATATTTATTTACTCAAGCTCTTATGTGGGCGTTTTTCTGGAGCGTGAGAACTGCTTATTTGGAGATAGCACTTAATAGCAAAGAAAAATAAGAAATAGCGACTTGAGTGGGTATTAAGTTCCAGGATCGGTGAAAAGACATCCCTGGTTAGATGTTTAGATGGTGACATTTCCAGCTAAGAGATACACGATGACCTCTCATTATTGGGAAATGTTTAGTAATGCGGGATCAATTTATACTGGCCGCATAAATGTAAAAGATATGAATAGTAAAAACTTAGTTTAGTGTCGTTAGCGTGCATACGTTAGACTTAATTTTCTAGAATAAACATAAACGTTTTTAATATATTTTTTACTTGACTGTTTATTAAGAGTTCAGAATAAGCCGCTTAGAATAAGTAATATTTTCTTTCCTAGTAGGTAAACAACGTTGGAACAGTCATTCTACCATACTAAGATAAACACATATTAACATTATTTAAAAAGGAACTCACCAGTAAACTTAGCTTGACCTTTGAGAGTGACAGTTTCAATAGTAGACACGTCACTCCTTCCCTTAGCATTGACAGCATACAGGTCGATCCTGTAGCTGACTCCTGGCGGAAGACCATGGATCTCGAAATACGGAGGAGTTTTGTTTGTGGACACGTTGTAGCGGACCTGAGGAGGAAGAACATCATCAGCACAGAGATTTTTATGACGATAATTTGTTATTGTTCAGTTCTATGAATGTTTAAACGACCAATTGAGATGATGTAATAAATTGATGTCGGTAGAAAAAAATATAATATGAGAGTTTTGTTTTAGATTGTGGAAATAGGTATTATTATCACTTGACATTCAACAAAAACCCTAAAAATATATCAAATTGCTCATGAGCAGTTCAAATCAAATCAATCACTTCTCGACTCGAAATTAGTAGAGTTTCCGTCCCAGTTCACGTGGGTATTTGAGTAAGTAAATTGTAACTAATTTACGTGATAGTGATGCGTACGAATTCTTTGACGCCTAATTGATGACATTTTATTATGCTCTGTTTACATCATCATCATTATCATCAACAACAGTCTATAAATGCCCACAGCTAAGCAAAGCCTCTTCTCACAAGGAGAAGGTTTGAGCATTAATCACCACGCTTGCTCAATGCGGGTTGGCGATTACAAACTTATAATCAAAAATTATAAACCCAGGTTGCCTCACGATGTCTTCTTTCACCGTTTGTAAGTTGTGTCTAGATGATCTTAAAAAGTATATATAACTCGGAAAAAGTCACATTGTTACGAACAGGCACCTTCATGCATGAGAAGCGTGCGTCTTAAACCTCTAAACGACATTTTTATTCACTGTTTTAGTTATTTCAGTTGCATTTATATTTCATCACATTTTGTATTGTGTACATTACATAGTACAATGTAATTAAGTTCTTATTATACACAATAAGTATGAATGTCTTGAAATAAGAAGGCGACGTTAAATAACAACAGCAGCTGGAGCTTCGCTATGACCTATTTTCTTTGTTAGTTCTCAATTGTCATGTTACAATAAACACTAACTGTTCTGAGCTAGTTCTCTTTGCACTAATCTACCTACGACTAAGTAGTTTTAATTATTTAGTTTTATAATTATTTAATAATGTTGTTTTGTTTAGAGTATTACCTTGAACTTATATTTTTTTTAAATATTTCTCGTTGACGCTGCAGTCAAAAGTGCGAATTTATTGTTGAAGTTTATTAGTTCAGATAGGACCAATATGCCAACGTTGAGCGATCAATTTGTGTATCCACTTTATATGTGTCTATAGTAATTAAATCATGTGAATCTCGTCAGCTTCTTCGAACTTTAGCTTAACTTGTACAAAATGTTAGTTTTATATTCTCTTGTAAGTGACGTTTTTTCTTGATGACAATAAATGATTTAAACTTAATATAAATTAGACGTTCCGATTTTCAAGTAATCTCATTGAAACATGGAACAGAACCTGACTTTGTATTTTATAGTATACCTGCTTGTATTCTACCGTATGGCGTTTTTTTGAAAGCTAATTTATTATAACGATGACTTACAATGAGTGAAGGTAGCTCCAGCAGTTCCATGAGGAAGGTCTGAGGGAGACCACCATCAAAGTTCTCCACACACTCCACGTTTAACGAGTCTATGCTCTGGTTGGCTACCGAGCAGTTCTGCAGGTGGAATGGACGTCCTAGGAAGAGAAAACATAATTTAAATTGAAGTACTATCACTCAATAACTGCGACTCAATCCGAAGATCGGTAGCTACAATTAAGTGCAGTATATTGTGCATCATTATAGACTGCCTGTGGTTTAATGAGTTTAATAAGTGATTTTAGTACTGTGTTAGCATGTTTCTACTTTCTGTTACTAATCGTGGAAACCTGTAATTGGCTTCTTGTTGCATACCACATTCTATTTAATCGAATTGTATAGCTGTTGGTTTTCCAAATGTATAAATAAATAAATAATTTAACTTTTAACTAAATGACTTGAACTATTCAAACCTTCTTCCTAAAAACTTTATAGGCACTATTTCCACAATATTTAAAGAAAACAAGATTTATCTAATAATGGCGGATCTCACCTGCAGCAACCAGCTGGAAAAGACAGGGTACTTTCTGCTGCCCCACCGCGTTCTCTCCATAGCAGGCCAGAGTTCCATACTCCATGTCTGTGGTTGGGGTGTAGTTGAGGGTCGACGTGTGACCGTGACTGCTGTATAACCTGGACAATGAACAATACATAATTACATAATTGTAAATGAAAAATCATGGGTCAAAAATACATTTTAACATATTGTAACCAACTTCCAAAAACAATGAGGTTGATAATGCGAGTGGTACGTTTTTATGTGACTAATTACAATAATGTATACCAGTGGCATAATGTATACCTCTACCAACCCCTTCGAGGATAAAAGGTGTGATGATGTTATGTCATTACAATATTTAGGTGATTCAAGTGGCAGTCTCCAACCTGCCTTGTTGTGCTGCCTGTGCTTGTGGCACAAAGATTATTACAAGCCCTCTTAAGTAGGTTGAAGAGAGTCACAGTCTATCAGTGGGCTGTCAAGGAGTATTGATGTTGTATCTAGTTGGATATCATTCCATGGTCTAAATAATTTACAACTAAAATTAAATAAAATATTGACAAACGGTGACATTTCATTACGAATTGCTATGTGATATATGACGCCCACGTTACGTATTTTACCTATAATTATATTTGTAATATATTTGATACTAAAATGTAGCCTAAAATATCTACAATTTGGCTAATGGTTATTAAATTCCTAGTTCAGGTCATTGCTCCCGCTGAATATTCAATGAGTTACGAAATACTGAAATGTCAAAAGGAAATGTAATAATATTTTCAAATTCAATTTTATTCAGATCTGTTTCAGAATAACTGAATTATTTTATATACCAAGGTTTTATTTAGTTTTTTAAATGGAAGATAATGTTATGCTTATTTAATTACTTTATTTGCGCTGAAATAGTAAAACGTCACTCAATTTTGAGTCTCGATTAAATTTAGCTCAGTCACTATAAATTCTTTGTAAAATAACAGAGATGGTACGATAGTTTAGTACAACTTAAAATTAAGTATCATTTCAGTATTTGAGCGTTAACTGTCTAGTTATCAGTTGGTATTCCGTCAAATGTTAATAGAACAGTTATTCTATTATTGAATTAGACAATAATAATTGCGTTTGGTCATCTCATTATCACGAAGTCGTAAATTATTCTTGAAGTATAATAAGGTACTACCTCCTTCATTATTGAGGAAATGGGGACATATAACATGCCAAAAGCACGTACTACAAAAATATAAAGTGCAAATCTGGCCTTTATACTTCTACAAATAAGGTCTATAAGTTTAACTTACTTCGGTGGCAGTTCCGTTTGTTCACCAGAGTTGTTGAAGGTCCAATGGAAAGACACGAGTGCTGGGTTCGCGTCCACGGAACAGTGTAATGACACTGTTTCTTGTTTGAGAGCACCAAACAGTTCTCCATCTCTTCTTTCCGCACAGACTGGAGCATCTAGGAAAGAGGAACATTCGTTTAGTTTAGCTGTTGTATTATTATTATCAAACTAAGTAAGGGCTATGGTGATTGTAATCAAGAATGCCTTATAAATCCAACCATGTATTAGCGGCCAATTCTAAGGGCTTCGACATCGAAACGAGACCGCGTTCGACGCTCTGATTGGCTGGTATGAACGAACCAATCAGAGTACCAAACGCGATCTCATTTCGATCACTGTAAACGTAAAACAAACTCGTCCTAAGGCCTCAGGTTTGCTAGCACCAATTGACAATGGAACACTGACACTGATTGACATGACTACCCTTACAATTTTCTATTACTACTATTTACACTATTACAGTAGATACTTTATGTATATTATGCGTTTGACCATGCATTTTAAAGTTGGTCCTTTTACCCACCATTCATTTATAATCCAAAATCCACAAACACACACAATCCATTCCTAATAATTATAAACCAGCATAAATAACAACCCATCTGGTAAACACGAATTTTAAGTTTAACGCCATCTAGTGATAAATATCTACGTATAAACCATAAGTAAAGTTCTTAAAGTATGACGTATAATATTACGTCATCTAACAAGAAGGGAAAAGTTGAGGATTGTTATAAAACTGCACCTCTGAACACTTGGCCGGCACTTTTAATGATAAAGTCTGACCTGTGACGTAAAACTACTTTAACTGGAGTTGATAGCGTTTCTGTTTCACGTTGAAGTTCCTTGTAATGGAAGCTGGTCTTTTGGTACGAATTTTGGGATAGTATTAAAACCGGTTCCCTAAATAAGGATTTTCTCCTGTGTCGTGGGTGCGTTTACAGACATTATATTTCACATATACATAATACCCAGACCCAACACAATAATTTGTGAACTATACAAAGAGTCATTCCGTGTGGGAATCGAACCCGCTACACGTTGTGCGGCAGCCGTTTGCCCATCCACCTCACCAACCGTGCAGTCATATAATGTGACATATTTATAGATCCTACTTAAATAAATTAAATTTTAAGTAGTGCAAAAATACTTACGAGGCTAGTACTACTGATAATAACTTCTCAATCAATTTATTACTCAAATAATCTTATTCAGTGTTTACAACTAAACATAACAGATGTTTACAAAAACTATTAGAAAACACCAAATATAATTTACGACAAAAATATTTGCTTTGTAACAAGACTTTCATCTTACTTTCATCAAACTAGTTCAAGCCATCTGCTAATAAATAGGCCCGTGTTTATATGAAAAGACAATTTTGAGTCCAACGTGCAACCCCTCATCCATTTTGCAAGTAAATTGCATTTTCTCAGGTTTTTATACCACTTCCGCGGTTGACGGAAGCAGGGACGGTTTACGGGTCCCGAGGGAATTTTAAGCTCCCTTTGTTTCGTGGCAACCAATTTTAATATAATTTCGTACAGTTTAAGTGATAATATTTTCGGGTCTTTTAGTTACGGAGCTTGCTCTTAATTGTTGGTTTTTGGTGCGGAAAATAGTTTTGTTGGCGAAGTGGTTTTATTTCGTTGTGTTGGCACATGTAACTGACAGTTTGAGAAACAGTGCTACAGATTTTGCTTTGAAAATGAAAATAAGTTCGTTCTTTGGCTTGTTACAGCTTGTGTTTTCAAGCTTTGTTTTTTAATTAAAATACAATCTTCATCTATACTTGTAACCACTGCTCCATAATTATAGTGCCTACATGAATGCGGACATTTTCAATTTGGTAGCTAGTAATTGTACTACAGTTGTTTCTAAGCCCGAAACCAAATATTCAGACGTTGATTGTTTCAGTCACATTGTTGTAGAGCTGAACTTCCATTACATTGTTTGAACTGGCTAACAAAACACTTATTACTTTGCCAATTCTCTAGCCATTATCCAGCCAAATGTCCGCGAAACATCTGTCTCTAAAGCATTATTCTACTCGATCTGGGTCTCAAAGCAATCTAACTGGCTCTTAAATGTAGTTATCATCAAAGTAACATAGTATGCAGTTAAATTAGGGTTGATGTTTAAACGAAACTATACAATATATACTATAAAACTGCTGCAATACTAAGTAGTGTAGAAATATAAAATTAAATGAAATGCGTAACAATCTTTCGTACAAAATTGTAGAATAAAGAATGTCATTACTTAAAATATATTATTAAAAAATCAAAGACAATTATTTACAATGAGGTTTATAAACCCATTTTTCTATCTCTTTTCAATTTTGCAACAATTCTTGGTATGAAGTCAGAGATCTCTAAGACTATAGTTTAACCAATATCAAATGTATCAAGTTTTCATTCAGTCACTTGACCCTTCCTATTTTACTATTTAAAAGGTCGTGTACGGACCAGGTTTTATTATGCTATTTAGGTGTCTTTTACTTTCTTAGAAGTTCGATTTTCCCTTTTTGTTTTACGAATCAAAGGACCAGAAATAACTGCTTTATAAAATGTTGTTCTAAAAAGTAACTTACATAAATGTTAAGTATAAGTTTGTTTGCTATTCTTATATGAAAGTATTTAGATTATGAACTATTATAGTTATCTACGTCTAATATTTGGCTTTCTAGTATATTAATATTTGATCGTTTAAACCAAAGCAACCCTACTATAGCTCCTTGGAGACTGGGCACTGACTGTGTTAAATGCTTGCGCAATAGGAGTCAAAGCGTGTGTTGGGGAAATCGAATACATATATAATATAGCTATGTCCACGTAAAGTTGCATATATGGTGGAGTATATGATATGATATTTGTACATTTGTAGTACTTATGTACAAAAGTACATAGTTATTATTTCAATTTACTAAGAAGAATATCTACTGAACTAAAACCAAAGATAACTTACACATGAAAGTAGTAATAATGACTAGAGAGCTAAAAATTGCTATAAAAAATCAGCATTAGGAAGGCTCTCATTCTTTGTGCATTTCTTAGATTTTCAATTTTGTTATAATGGCTTATAGTTGAAAATCCTTTATTAAGTTTGACTTACTGTTCATATAAAAAAGGTACTCACATCGAACCAGCAGTGTGACAGGATTGCTAGTCCCTTTCCCTTCGCTGTTGGCTGCCATACACGTATAGTCTCCTGCAGCCGCCCTGGTGACACTCTGCAGAACCAGGCTTTGGGCACTCAGGATAATACCTGCACCTTCGTTGTGGAAGATTTCTGAATTCTGTATTGGAAAAGAATAAAAGGTTTAGATGACTAACTGACGGAATAAGGTAAACCCGTATATCCCCAAGCGGTCACCGGTGACTGCTCTCCACAAACTACATTCTAGACTTTATTTCCAATGTTTAGAGACTGCTTCTGTATGAACCAATTTAGGGGATGATTTTCAGTTTTCAACAGGTTAATGAAACAATGTAATTAAACATCATAGCTTACCATCAGTCGAGACAGTGGCCAAACGTCGGCCCATCAAATATATAAAAAAATTAAGAATGTATTGCGAACCCGATTGAAAAGGAGTAACTTATGGAGTTACTTGCTCGTTCTTATATGAATCTACACTTTGGAACGAGCAAATAGCTTCACTAGAGGATTGACCAATAGACTGACATTATTTTTAATATTTTGTTGTTGTGGCATTCAGAACTGCCATCCTGGTCTAATTGAAATAAAAGATTATCACTTTTTGATTTCTGCATGTATTAACATTACAGATACCGTCGAAACCTCTACATACGTTAATGAGAATTTCGAAAATCTATAAATGAGCTCTTTGTGTAAACTAAGCTTTGAACCGGAGACATCTCACTAAGCAGTCATATTTCAGGCTGAATCGTAATTAAACCAGAATCGAAATTGAAACTATCCGTTTTCGATCCCTCGGCCAAGGAGACAGAACAGAAGTATACATAGCATAATTACTAACACAAGTTCGTAAGCACTTGCAATAAAATTAAAAAAATAAAGATAAGTGATCCAATAAAAAAAAAGTCCATGGTCAGCATAATACAGTACAGGGAATTACAAACAACATGGTGCACTTGCGGCCCTCCCAATGCAATATATAGTATAGTTATAAATTATATTTATTTTTACTGTACATACTACCGTTACACACGAAGTCCATGAAACCTTAAAATGAAACTTTCAGGAGACGGGGACTTGAAAGCAAGTAATTGTACACAACGTGAATATTTTATTGCTTATGTGAACTGAAATTTATGTGAATTTATTTATGAGAGTAAAATTGTTTTGCTGTTTTCGTTTACTGTTGTTTTTCTCTTTACTTTACATTGGTAAAGGTATATGGACCCAGAAACAGTACACAACAACATAATTTATTTAGATCACGCAAAGGAAATTTTTATATTTCAAAAATTCTCAATAATTACTTTTTTAATGGGATAAGTCAGTAAACAAGCGGACGGATCACCTGATGGTAAGCAATCGGCGTCGCCTATGAACACCTGGAACACCAGAGGCGTTAAAAATGCGTTACCAGCCTTTTAGGGATTAGGAATTTGAGAATTGTTGGGATTCAGGTATTGGAGAGGCCTCCGGTAACCTCACTCACACGACGACGCACAACTCTAGCGTTGATTCTCGTCTGTTTTCTGTGAGGCCGTGGTGTCACTCGGGTCGAGCCGGCCCATTCGTGCCGAAGCATGTCTCTCCCACACTTAAAGTATTGACAATCTGGTGCTCATTGTTTTACACTACTTACTTACCTTCCTAGATCACCGGATTAACAACAACATAACTAGTGAAAAGTGATTATACTTCTTTTTACTCCTCTGGTCATTCTAATGAGCGTTATAATCTAGATCAATCAAATAGCAAAACATGGAATTCCTTGGCTAACTTAACTCTATAATCTTTAGACCCCATAGGACCAACACACCTATATGTATCCAGGTGACTGTGTAGTTAAGGGTGACATGTGTTGAGCTCCACAAGATGATACCAATTACTCACATCATGAAACCAGACGAGGCGATGTGTCTTGGGATTAGCCTTGACAGTGCATTCGAAGTAAACGTCATCGCCCTCCTTGATCTCATCAGGGTTGAGATTGGAGCCCATCTTCAAGTCCACTATTGGGACATCTGTTTATAGAAACATTAGAAGGTTAGAGTTAGTAAACAAAATAACATAAATATTATAATCGAATAAAAACTTCGCACATTTGGTGGATCAGAATTGTAAATCTAAGAATATTAATTATTAATAATAGTTTTACGTATAAAACACTCTATATAAAATGTATCGTCTGAGGGTTGGAACTCAAAAAGCCAATAATTGTTGAGTATTTTTGCGACAGTGTCTACTATCAGTACATTTATCATATTTTATAGACGCTGAGGTTAAAGAACGATTGAACACATTTCAAAGTTTTCTTGACAAAACAAAAACAAAATAAACTGACAGTTTGATTGTTTTATCTATTCTCAAGTAATAACTGTTCATATTATTTTGTTATCTTTTCACTGTTGAACCAGTCTCAGGAGTCGCGTCAAACGTAGTTATGTTGTCTGAAGATAATAAAATAAAAATTACACTTTTACTATCAAAACATAAATTTAATCAAACACAAACATTTTCAATTTTCGAACCTAATTCAACTTTATATTTGAATAGTAATAAACTACAATGTTATTCGAAGAGAATTTAACTTAAGAAAAACAGTCTTTTACTGCTTTAACAAAGAAACTACGAAGTTGAAAGTTATCCAATCACAAGTTGATATCAGAATTAGTGGGATGACTTGAGTGGTATTACCAACTTGTTACTATAGTGGCAAGGACACGTGTTCGAAGACCAACATCTTAGATATTTAGTTCAGAATTAGTTTTTTCATTAAACTCAAAGTTGCTTCAGACGAACTTGAAGACATTTGTAAAGTTTGTTAGTAGAAAATAAACGAGAAAATTCATGTTGGATAACTTGTAACACATCATAGTTTGGAACGTAGAACTTTAGTCGACGCTCCGAACTCTTTGCCATGGTTATGAAATGCGAATTACTGAACTTTGTAAACCAACATCAAGTTGGAACAACGAAAGAAGATTTTACATTCGGTAATGTTAATAATAAAGATTTCTCATACAATGTATATTAAAGAAAACACGATAATTTTGTTGAAAAAAATAATACGTAGAATTCTAAATGAGACCTGCCAAAATCCTTTTCTCTTATGATCAAGATGAATTCGTGTAGCAAAGGAAGAAATACAGACACCGAATCTCGGAATCCATCATCGTTTCTATAATCAAAATCCTTTCAATTCTGATTAATGCTTACTCTGAACACTGAGCCTCCATTTGTTCTCGTTAGCAGAATGTGTTTTCAACAGGAGCCACATGTAACTATGGATATGTCATTGATAAAATTTTATATGACTCGACTTTTTTGGAAATAAGTAATGAGTTTTAGATGAAGTTTGGTTATTGATATTCTTTCTTTGTTTTAGTGTTATCATCATGTATACGAGTGTCATAGATGTTTAAATGTGTACTTTAAATGGAGGTGTTTATTTTAAAGTTTAATAAAGCTAATGTTTAGTCTTTATTCACTAGACTACAAAATCTTTAAGATTTTTAACCAACTTCAAATAGAAAAAGAAGGAGATTCTCAGTTCGACCTGTATGTATGTATGTTTGTGCGTGATTAGCTAAACCTATTTCGATTCGGTTTTCAGAAAAGAGTTTGTTACATTTAGGAGGTTTTAATTTATTAATTAACCGACTTAAAAAAACACGAAGTTACCTTGATTCTTCATAGCACTACAAAATACACCTAGGAACAAAACTCTCTTCACAGATCCAAACCCATCTCCCAAACATCCTCACGCTGTTTCAACAATACACCAAACACGTGGCAATGCCAGACCCATCAATGTGCTCAATCAAAACCCTTCAGAATCTCATCAGTACTCACAGTGCACATTGAGCCGCCATTTGTCTTCAATAGCCGAGTCCTGTATATGTTTGTTTTCAGCTCGGCATGTCAAATATTTGCCATCGTCCTCGACGCTGGGAACTAAGCTGAGCACGCTCAACGTCTCGTTGTTCTCGGAAAACTGTGAAAAGATGCGCTTTACGTTAAATTGCATTTGATATTGTATGCTCTGGAAGTGATTGTGTTGTTTGAGATCGGTGTGGTTATAAACTGGTGAGATGAGATTTTTCAGCTTAAAGTTCTTCTTGTTTGGTGTTTTATGGATGCTGTTTATTGCTTATTGTTGCTGCTCTATTTTGAGTATAAGGAGAAAAAATTAACAAGTTGGAAAGTACATAAAACAATGTTAAGGTTCTAGCATATAAATATAATTTTTGGTTGCCAACACCAGATAACATTGTCAGAGGATAAATTTGAATTTTCACTAGTTTTTCCATATAAAAACTGACAGATGTCAATTTTATTAATGAAAGATTAACCTTTATTTATTTCAATCGCCTTTATAAGTTGTGCAAAATAATAAATGGCAAACACTTAAAAAATACGAATATATGAAAAACTTTTTTGATCACTTTATATCCCCAGTTCGTCACTAAAGACCATTTAACTACAAAAAGTGCATTCAACTCACATTTTTCGCCATCCTCTTCAGCTGTCTATTGTTCTTCCACCACGTGACGTACGCCTCTGGTCTCGAACCTGTCGTTTTGCATTCCACTTCGTACCTTTTGTCAGCTGATACTTGCTTCTCTTTTGTTAGTATGTTCACTGTTATTGGTTTTACTGTGGAAACATCAATATTTTTGAACAATTTCATTCAACTGTTGCATTTGTAGGTATTAGGTACATTAAGTTTTCATATTATAACTTTCGTTAGACATACTAAATGATTTATTATATTTTTCGGCTACGTGAGTAACGTATCATATTCAAGCGGCTCATGAATATAAGCCTCTAGCATGGCTTGAAAATAGTCGAGTTCCTCATCAAATAAGTGAGTAAGCCAAAATACATAATAATTAATTTAACTTTGTCCTTAAAATTGTCGAACAATGTTTTCATAGGATTTTGATATTAAATTGGCATGATTATGGATAAATCATTTCATTAATAATTAAATTTCTTTCTTTGTGTTACGTATTTTTTTTATTGACAAGTTAACATTTGGTGTAATACTTTTTTACTTACAATTTATATCTAAAATAAGGACTTTGGTCTCAGGTTGCGCGAGGTTGGTGTTGGAAGCTTGGCAGACGAGCCTGGAGTTCAGGTGTTGGCGGCCAACGTTGGGGAATGTCAACGTGTTCACCGTCACACCGTCAGCTCTCTGCTCGAATGAGTCATCTATCACCACATTTTCTAAATACCACGTCACCCGTGGCCTTGGTCTACCTGTGAAACAAACAACATTTTAAATATAAAGAAATATCTAAAATTCAAATAGAGGAGGTTCTCTGTTTGACCTGTGTATGTATGTATATCTGTGCGTGTTATCTCGGGATTAGCTAAGCCAAATTTGTTGCGATTTTCAGAAAAGTGTTTATTATTACACTTAGGAGAAGGTTTTAGTATAACTTATCAGACTTCAAAAAAGGTGGCGTTGAAGTCGGTATTGTTTATGAAAGAATTATTATTGTTCCATCATAATTCGTTTTAGCTTTTAAAACTTCACCAAGAAAAATCACTGTCAACATAAAAATCAATATGGTGTCGAAATAGATATATTTTGTCGATAATTATCTGAAGTTCGTGGTCGCCATCATTATTCTTATTGACAAATTGTCCCTCCAATCATAACCCGGTTTAATGGCTTCATTTTTATTTCTGCCACGACTCGGCTCTCATCAAAGAATGAAATATGTTGAAGTTGTTTCAACATCAAGATGACTTTTGGTGAAAATACACAGAGGCTTATTATAGATTTCTGATAGAAATAATTATAAACAGATTTGAGAACTCAACTACAGTTAAATACTAGTTAAATACTTGTTAAAAGTAAATTTCATTAAAGCGAATTAATTTTCAATTATAACTATTCCAAATATACCAAATCATGGAATTAATAACAATTTCTAGAAGTTCCTGAATATCAGTTTGTTATTTATTATCGGTTTCGTTATTCAAATAAATGTTATTACTGAGAACTATTGCATTCTGTTCTCTAGTATAAAAGCACTGTTGCCAAAAGCACTGTCACTAAAAGGCGTTATAATGACCTTGGTCAAAAATTTTCAAAAATCGAACGCCTGTCGATTGGCAGACATACCCGAAAGGAGCATGCTAATTTTGACCAACATTAAAATTATTTTTCTAGGATCTTTTCCTATGTCGCTGGTGCGTTAACAAACATACAAGTTCACATACACATGACACCTAGACCCGGAACAACAATCTATGGATCACACAAAGAGTGGTTCTGTGCGGGAATCGAACCCGCGACACGTTGTGCGGCAGCCAGTTGCCCAATCACCGCGCCAACCACTAAGTGACAAGTGCTCAATTGAAGCATGCTTTCGTACTATAAAGTACCTTTATGATGTTGTATACCCATTATCATAGTTTGTATCATAGAGCTGTTTTCTCTAACGTTATAATCATTTCCCATATGTTCCCCATCATTAACGCCCACAGGTCCTGTGTGTTCATCATTTATAGTGTCATTGTTCTGTCCGGTCCCAAATTATGCTATGGGATCGGAATGTTTTATTGTTTAACACTCGAAGGCAACAATTATAGCCTCTAATCGGTCATATAGCTTTAAAGATTTGTTATTGATTCGTTTTGTTTTATCAATTATTTGGTCATTACGGTTTAGGGTGATAGGGATTCATATTTTTTGTGTAGCGGTGAATTGATTTATTTCGATTGACCACTTTTTGATAAATTTCTCTATTTCCAGAATTGATTTGGAGACGACGTTGTTTAGGATACGACTTAATTTAAAAAATGTAGGAATTTGTTGTTTTTTATCATTTTTTTTTTGTACACCTAAGTTAACACAATAGCCAATGTGTCAAAAAACGTCTGTAATATAGCAATATTATATAATTTTATTCCGTGTCCATCTTGTCTCTCTAATAACGAACTTTGTTATATTACTGTCTATAATATGATCTATTATTTTATCTACATTCTTAAGTCCTGTCATATCTCTAAAGTCAAAAAGTCGCATACTAAGCGTTAATACCTACTTCATCTGTTTTGCCTAGCTTAGTACTAATTCCAAGACATCTTGTTTCATTTCGCTTTACGCTTCAGTGCCTACAGTTTATTTTACCTGACAGTAAGCTGTATTAGCTTAAGCCAAGACATCTGCATGTTAGACCTAGATTAAACAGCCTCTCTTAGAACCATTTACTATTCCAGTAAATCTCTGTGACTTAGATAATTTCCTTTTAATTGGATGGTTTAAATATATGTATGTGTTGGTCTTAGTTCGTTTTAGTTTGTATTTCTAGGGAGTTTTAGTCATTTCAGCTATGTGTACGAGTATTTGAATACATTTTTTTATTTGCATGGTTATATTTTTAATTTTAATGTAAGTTTTTATCGCCAGATTAAAAAATAATGTAAATCAGAAAGCAAGAGTTCGAAACTAAATAAAATGTGAGACAAAAGGAGATAAGATTATTGAAATACTTGATATGTAAAAAAAAATAAAACGTAGCATTTCGTTCGTAATATTTTACGGCATAAACGAAATCTTGGAACTTTAAAACAAAATGTGAATTAAAAATTCCGAGATCTCTTAAACCCAATGTTTACAGGTCAATGGGTTTTTCCAATAAAAGCGCAAATTTTATCGGAAAGCAACTTATTAATTTTTACAGAGCATTTAATATGAAAATCTGTAGCGAAAATGAAATAATACTTCTATGGAAAGGTAAAAATTGTACATTATTGGGCAAATATTTCAAGAAACACTACCGTGCAAGATTTGATACCTAGGTAGATTAAAGTACTGTTAATTATTCTGTTTACAATAGTGATGCACGATTTATGATAAAAGGTTCATTTCATATTAAGATAACAAGTGCGACTGCCGGGAATGGGGTCTCGGGTTCGATTCCCGGGTCGGACAAAGTATTACTGGGTTTTAAAAAATCTCAGTAGTAGCACGGAGTCTGGAAATGTGTCTGATATATGGCAATAGGCTCACCCCCTATTACATGAGACTCATAACATAAATAGTGAAAAGTGGGTGTTACATTAAGTGAGTACAGTGACATTAAGTGACATAATATGCACCTCTGTCTACACCTTCGGGGATAAAAAGGCGTGCTGTTGCTGCTGCTCTGCGCTGTTATGTTATGTGACAAAAAGTGGATAAAAATAATATTTTTATCCACTTTATGTCACCTTTACTAATATTATGTCACCTTTAACTTACTCCTTCGTGATCTTATGTCCTACTTTAGAATGTTATTATATTATTCTGCTTACCTCCTTCTACTTCACATATGAGCAGGACGTTAGACCCTTCGTTGTAAGGCTCCACTAGTTTCGTTCTGTCTCTTCTCTTTGCGTCGTATATTGTAGGACGATTTGGTGGTACTGTTGGAAAACAATGTATAACAATTAGAGAATATTCTATTTGGTTATGTGAGGCATAAAATAACAGAAGGCCTGTAGATAACTGATTGAAAGCAATAATCTGCTTTTTCTTTTTCTTTTTAAGCAACATTATTTTTAAAATTATAATACTTCTTCAAACCATAAGAGATAGTTTGAAGTCTTAAAGAGACTAATTAACTAGAGATACTACTGCCGAGCTAGGGATCTTGGGTTCGATTCCCGGGTCGGGCAAGTATTACTGGGCTTTGTGAAAAAATCTCAGTAGTAGCACGGAGTCTGGAAATATGCCCAGTATATGGCAATATGTTTATCCCCTATTACATGGTACTCATAACATAAATAGTGAAAAGTGGGTTTTACATATTTGTACAGTGGCATTAAGTGTTGTAATGAGCATTTCTGCCTACCTCTTCGGGGATAAAAGGCGTGAAGTAATGTAAAAGTTCTACAGCCTAAATGAAAGAGTTATTTAGTGAGCAAACTATTACTGATTAAAAAAAACTCAGTCTGATACTTAATCCTACAAAGTCGTGTAATACAAACGCAAATCCTTACTAACATTATAAACCGGAAAGTGAGTTTGTTTGTTTGTTTGTTCCACTTTCGCACCGTAACTACTACACCGATTGCTTTGAATTTTTTCAGACGTGAAGTTAGAAGTCTGGATTAAATAATAGGGTACTTTTTATCCCGGAAAAATTTGATATTCTCGAGGGAAAACGAAATTATTGGTATAGATGGCGCTGTGTGTGTTGGTATATGTCACATAGGCTACTTTTTATCCTTTTGTGATGCGAGCGAAGCCGCGGGTAAAAGCTAGTAGACAAATAAATAGAAATACTTACTAATAACAGTAAAATTAACTTTGAGGTTCCTAGTAGGCGAATTCTTGAAGTCTACCCTGCATCTATAAACGCCAGCGTCGCTGGCTATCACATTGTCCACCATGAGGACCGCGGGAGTTGCACTACCACGGAAGAATGCTCTGTTCCCGAAGACGGTCGGAGAAGACCAGAGCTTCGGCTGGTTGATGGACCGGCCTCTGATGTCGTAGCTGCAAAATTGTATTAGTTTAGTATTTTTGAAAATAAATTCAAAGCATTTATTTTATTTAACCTATATATGGCACAGGTGTTTATCGTTGTTAACGTTTTAAAAAAAAATAAAAACAGAAACGACTGCTATTGTCAGTCAGTGAAATAAATTGGAAAAATGTTCAGGCTGTAATTTGGAATGCTATAACTGAAATAATTTTAGTAATTACGCTGAACTTACCTAAAAATAGACAACTTATATGAATTGGTTGTATTTTTTTGTGTTAATTAAGTAGATTTGTTAATAGTGGGTGCAAAATAATTTTAACAAAATGTTTTGACTTACTATAGATTTTAATCCCTAGTTTAAAATTTCGCGTTTCATAATATTATGTATATTATGTTTATGTTTATAACGCTTCGCGTTTCATAATTCTCATTCTCATTAAAATGCCATATTCTAGATTTGATCCAGAATCTGTCCTATGTTCAAATTATTATTTAATGGGAAAACCCGCCACATCCTCCCAAAATCGCTGCAACTCCTGTAAGCCAGGATCTACATTAAGTACAACCATGAAAACACCAGAACACTGAAGTCCGACGCGTCTCAGGGACATGAATGTCTGTCATGGTTCCAAAATTCGAATTTATAATCTATATATTTTTTTAAATAAACGTTACCCCACACTCGGATTTTCTCCTGCGTCATGGGTGCGTTTACAAACATACAAGTTCACCTATACATTACCCCCAGACGTTGCACGGCAGCTGGTTGCCCAGCCACCGCACCAACCGTGCCGTCAAAACATAATTTCTAACTAATAACATAATCTGAGCATCCTTTTATATATCTATAGGTACATCAACCAGTTCTACCAGTTCAAATGTAACATCAGAATACACACAATACACAGAACAGACCAAATTTTCCTGACAATCTACATTAAAAACCGAGTCACCTGTACATTCAGTCCTAATATTAATTACTTCAATATCATTTCGTGTACCTGTGTCACCATTAGTCGAAGTGTTTCCTGGCGTTAAAACTAACAGTGGCCCACGTGTTGTGTCTCCATTATCACTTGTCCCTAATTTAACTATAGTGTCTACTGTCCACATTTCTTGTTTTCACACTTCCATTTAAAGATTATAATTTACGTTAATTGAGTTTTATTTAATTGGATATTCGGTTTTGTGGTGGTAAGTCTACACTTAGATTCAAATATACTCATGACGTTAAGTTGCATTATAACTCTCTGACGGATACTTTCACCAGTACGTAATGATCTGATTGCTAACTACCTTTAAACTTGTAGTTAAAGTATTATAAGATCAATCTAAATTCCTTTCACTGATCAGGTAGACAGAAAAAGCGAATAACTATCATGATATCTGGGAATCTTTGCACTTAGAAAAGTTCTATAGTTGATCTGAAATTGGTTACAACACTACCTAGCCTATACGCTCAAATTAAAACTTTTGAAATCATCGTCATTTTTTACTACCTGCCTATTTGACTCATTAACTCTAAATTTTATAACGTCTTTACCTGTACAAAGGCTGGTCACCATCAGACTCCTTGAACCACAGCACCATCACCACGTCATCATCTGAGTGCAACGGCTGAATGTCGCACGGTAGTGATGCTTTCTTCCCCAGTACTCCCTGCACGTCTGATGTTGGCACTGTTGAAGAAAGATCACAATTAATATAAATTCCGTAGGTATGTTAATATCTGAGTTTGGTGATAATAAAATAAACCTTCATTTTAAGCAAATATTGCGTCTCTTTATTTAAATACCTTAGCTGCAATCTATGTCAATCATGTTTCATATTTATATATGTGAATTATTAATTTGGGTAAATGCTGGTTTCCTGTGAAGTTTCTAATATCGAGTAGGCCGGTAGTGTCGAAACAAATCACACAAAGTGCGTGCCTACCGGGACCGTTAGCCCACAGCGGCTCGTAAAAGATTGCTACACTTATTTACCTTCATAACTTTACCTAAAATCATGACCTACACTTACACACGTTCGATGTTATCCAATAAACCACATCCTAAATACGAATATAATTACGTACCCTCAAAAAATTCTCCTCATTTCCCGTCACGCGATTCTCGTTCTAAACGTACAAATTATAATGTCTATAATTGCTCACGCGTTCCCTCCACTCACACAAATTGCGGTGCCTTGGGCAACACGCCATATTATTCCTTGTTATTTCGTCACGGAGTAGTTTTGGTGAAAAAGTAACAACATGAACATTGCCTGTAAACATGCCAACTTGAACAAACGTTCTTTGATGTGTATGGGATATGATTTGTCTAACAAACAAATGTTGATAGTTCGTAAACGATTGCGAAACTTTTTGTGGAAACCCTGAACAGTTTTCTTTATTTCATTCCTTGCAATAAGAGCTAGAATACGAGCAGTCGGGAATAAAACCGTGGCATTTAAAATAAAATAAGGAAATATTTTTGAGAGAATGGGCTTAACAAATGACGGAGTAAAAATATAAACCTGTTTTATAATGGAAGAATAAACTTTTCCAGAGCAAAATTATATTATTGATTTAGTTTTAAGTATGCTATGAACATGTTTAGACGGAAGATTGTACTGAATAAATTTATTTTTAGCGTAACCTACGCTTTCCACCTCGGAAAGTTTTGTATCATAATATGTTTCAGCTCCATTTATTCCTAGAAATAACCTTGGGAGACAAGTCTGAGAACCCATTAGGACTATTGTGTGTATATGAAAATTATTCAATTGAACGGTATCTAATAAAATATAACACAATTTTAAGTGTGGGAGAGCCACGTTTCGGCATGAATGGGCCGGCTCGACCGGAGTGATACCACGGCCTCACAGAAAACCGACGTAAAACAACACTTGGTTTGTATTTCGTCATGTGAGTTAAGTTACAGGAGGCCCAATTACCCTTCTCATACTCTTCCAATTTTCTCAATCTCTGAATCCCCAACTATTCTCAAATTTCTGATCCCCAAAAGGTCGGTAACGTACTTCTAACGCCTCTGGTGTTCCAGGTGTCCATGTGGGACCGGTGTGTGGATCCGTCTGCTCGTTTATCGGCTTATCCATTTATGCTTCCAATTTAAAGCCTAAGTTTCCAATTTTCAAATCAATTTTCTAGAGCACAAAAGCTTAAAGTCCTCATAATAAGTGAAGGTCAAAGCTATAAAATATCTACTACCAGTAGTCGTAAAATGGTCATAAAGCCTAGAAGGTCCCAATTTTAATAGAATCTTAACACTAGACCCTTATAGCGTCTATGAAGAGTATGTGGGCTTAGTGATTAAATTCTAGTGTTTTATAGTTCCAATACTATCGATCGGAGAGTTTCTAGTAAATGGACTAACGAAATAATGTAACTAAATAATCGTATTGTGAATCTCGTTAAGAAAAAGTAACCTATGGAGTTTCTTGCTCACTCTTTTCCAAAGGAATCTACACCATTTAATGAGCAAATAGCATTTTTTTTTGACGGTCAATTGCTATTCTGGTTTAATTGAAATATACCTATAATTTTAGATTGACTTTGGAAATTGTTTGGAATGTAATACACCAGTTTTATCCATACTTGGACTAAAACCGAAAGTAGTCATGTGAGTAAAACCTTATCTTATTTTTTTCTTTTTAAATTGTTCATTTTAAGTATTTCTAGGTTCTTCTACGATGTCTTTTCTTTTAAGTTCTTGTGTAACTTAGTTTGGTGCCCAATCCAAAGGCAAACCCAAAAATGTTTTAAGTTTCCCAGAGTTTGTAATTTTTTGGTTGAACTTTCGAAGGTAATTTGGAGGTCGATCCATCAAATTGTAATAGTCATCTTTATTAGGTAACACGAACAACTGTGAAAGGTTTTGATTATAAAATGATTGAGACCACGGTTTTATTTTTGGAGAATACAAAACAGTGGGTATGCATTTTGAAAATATTTGAAAGCTTCGTGGAGGTTGATGGTAGGTATTTATATATAAATAACTTTGTTTTACTAGTATAATTTGTAGTGTAATGTAGAAAACCACATATAAAACAATAAGATACTTTTGAGTCAATAAAGAAATATCCTACTTTAAGTTAGAACAATATTATAAGTGTGGGAGAGCCATGCTTCGGCACGAATGGGCCGGCTCGACCGGAGTGATACCACGGCCTCACATAAAACCGACGTGAAGCAACGCTTGCATTGTGTTTCATCGTGTGAGTGAGGTTACCGGAGGCCCAATTACCCTCCCCTTCCGCAATCTCCCCAATCTCTGAATCCCCAACGAAACGATCCTCAAACTCCTTATCCCCAAAAAGGTAAAGCACTTGTAACGCCTCTGGTGTTCCAGCTGTCCACGGGCAACACCGATTTCTTACCATCAGGTAATCCGTCTGCTCGCTTACCGGCTTATGCCATTAAAAAAAAATTAACAACTCTGGAGGTCTTTCAAAAACCGATGGTCACTGCAACCACTTTTAAACGATGACGCTGTCAAAAAGAGATCCAAAGACATTATCTTCCAGTTCCGTCTTAATTCTCAGATTAAAATGCAAATCAAAACACTCCAGCCTTGATTCTGTATGTCGTCAATAGACTGAAAAGTTTTCGTGTAAGCCGCGTCGAGGCGTGTTGACCCAGTTTATGTTCACGTCGAAACACTACCGCCTAGGAATATACCTTTTTATTTTATTTAATAAAAGTTGAGCATTAAAAAACGAGTTTATTTCTTTAATAACTTGGAATTTGTACGGCATCTGCTTTTGTATGTGTTTCACTGTCGACTGTTGAGTACCTTCGCACCTTGTGCCTTAGAATCGGTTTAAAAAAATATGTTGTTTTTTTTTCTTGTAAATATGTAGCTTTTGCGTAGGTTGTAGCTGTAAGGATGTTGTCACGTTTGACATTGTTTATGTGACTTTCTTCAGTACTGCTTAAATTGGCCATTTGATTTTAGCAAGTGAAAAAGGAACAAATTGAAAGTTCTAATAACAATCATCAGGTGTGACACCTAAACATTGACACAGCACTTAACGTAAATATTGCAGATTAATCATCATCATCAGTCTGTGTTCGTCAACTGCTGGACATAGGCCTCTAAAATGGCACGCCTCTGAGCTCGGTCTTCAGCTTATCTCATCCAACCACTGCCAGCCACCTTGCTGATGTCTTCTTTCCACCCAGCTAGAAGGCGCCCTATACTACGTTTGCCTGGATGCGATCTCCACTCTAGAACACGTTTACCCCAACGGTTATCGCAGATTAATAAAATTCTGATATTGTTGTTTAAAATAAATACATATTCAAAAGAGTATTAAAACAAAAACTCAATTTAAAACTCGGCTTTAAACACAATGTAGCATGTTTAAAAAACATGACTGCATCCAGTACAGAGTCACGTCACAACTTCGATCCGATATCAGCAACGTATTGTCGCATCCCATCTCAGAACCGATTGTTTTTCTTTCATCGCCAAACGAACATAAAAATAACGTCAACATATAAAAACATAGCTTGATAAAAACGTACTTCGGTAACATAGAATAATTTAAATGTAATAAAAACCGGATATTGGTTAATGTAACCAAAATCTGTGGTTTCTTGCAACCAAGTCACGTCTGAGCCTCGATCGTTACGCATATTTATATTCTCGTTTACTTTATATTAAAACTTATTTTTATTAAAGCGTATTTCTATTCACGGTTTGATATCTTTCATGAAAATATTAAGTGACACTTTCCTTATATCGAGTTTTTGTTGATTCGATATTAGTTCTTCTTGTTATTGGTTTAGGGTTTTTATTGTCGTCGTAAAAACATATCGCACCTGTGTTTTGGTATAGTTTTGAGTTTTGTACGATTAGATTTCTTTTGTGAAATCTTTAATGGCTATTGTAGTCTAGGATTTCTGTTGAAATCGAGATATAAAAGGCGAGATTTTATTTTAAAGTTTTATATCGTGGGTGTGTTTGCATATAAAAATCTCATGTCAACACCACACCTACGTAAGAAACATATTTGTTGGCGTTTGACACAGGTACTTGTAGATCGTACAAATATAGATTTTTTATAAGAATCTAATGTACATACCTACAACACGTAACAAGAGAAACACGTAAAATTATTTTGCAATTAGGCTACAAAACAGCATTTTTACATGCCAATTTTTTTTTGAATCTCATCAAAACTTGTTTGTTGCGGTACCTGGAGAACTGGCTGCCGTGCAACGGGTAGCAGTTTCAATTCCCACACGGAGCAAATCTTGGCGTGATCTACAAATTGTTGTTCCGGGTCTGGATGTCATGTAGATGTAAAATTGTAAACACACTCACAACACAGGAGAAAAATTTAGATCATAAGGCCAACAGTTCAAAAAAAAATCTAGATTCCTTAGCGCAATAGTGAGAGAGTGACGCATGGTTACTGACCGTATTATAGCAATAGTAACCATTGCGTTAACTAAAGCTTACGCATGACATCCCATAAGTAATATAACGCACCTAGAAAATACGTAGAATAATGGAGCTATGCGTGAGCTCTTATTAAAATATTACCTGTCTTTCTCTCATCATCCTTTTGACTCACTGAAGCTGTCCCAAAATACCAACACACAACACCACAACCTACCAATTTACGGACCCAATAATTACTTTAACACTTTGAATAAATCAAAATCGTT